GTGCTCCTATGCAGGGCACCTTCCCTGGGAGGGCTGTTTGCAGTCTGGATCTTCTCAACTGCAGCTGAGATTGTTTCTTGGGGATGCAAAGCCTGCGCTGCTGGAGATCGCACTGGGGCAGGATTTGAGCTGGAGAATTGCAAATTATCATTACATTTATTCCTGCTAATGAATCTAGAGCTTAATGCCAGCTTTTCAACTTTTTCCAGCTGTGTAACTGCTCCCAATCAAGCCTGGGCAGAGGCCAGTGCTGGAGGATGCTCTGCCTGTGTTCCCGTTCCTCATTCGGGTTCTTCACTCTGCTGAAGAAGACCCTCTATGTTCCTATCACTCAACTTTTCCATCCATGTTGTAGAAGGTTTTCCCCCTAGGGGACCACCTTCAGCTCCCTCAGGGAGATGTCTTCTTCTCTGATGAGTGCCCTTGAGGCTTGCCTGGAGTTTTTGGACTGTGCAGTGTTATTGTCAAAACTTTGTTGGGTTTTTGTTTTTTATCGCTTATACCTGTCTCCAGTCATATTGCTATTCTGCAGCAGTCTCTGTGAGAAATAAGGCAGTTCCTTTGTCTGCCTGATCAGTAAGACTTTTTGTTCTGTCATATTCCACTGCAGTGACAGAAGGTCACTCAATGATGACAGTGAGATCTTTGAATATTTATCTGATATCCATCAGGAGGACACTTTCCTCCATTGCTTTTGGTTCCAGGTTTTTCCAGTTTCAAGTCGGAGAATGTCAGCCTAATTCCAGCTGAATCTCATCCAGTTCCTCAGCATACATTTAAGAGGAGACATGGCTGACATCACAAAACCAGAGTTACTACAGCTGCCTCATCCATGAGCCCTGAAGTGATGTCTTTGACATCGTGCTAGAAGATTTAAATTATCTTCCCTTTGAGCATGTCAAGGACAACCAAGAGAGTGCAAGAATCACCAGAATCTCCTGCTGGAGGTCTGCCTTCCTGGGACTTTAGCTCCATACTGGATTCATGTGCATTGAATGACTGAACTTCCCCAAGGCAGATCTGAGATGATCTCGGAGCTTCTTTTCAGGATTTGGGATGTGTTGAGGTCAATCTCTCAGTCTCCAATGACAGCTGCAATAGCTTCTTGCTGCCAGACCAAAGCTGGTGCTCCCTTTCAGATGTATGCTCCATCATATAGCAGAGACCCACACTGAATGCCCCTTCCCCATCCTCACTTCTGTTAAGGACAACCAGGAATGTACAAGAACACCATAAAAGAGAAGATCTCTGTTCACTAAACCAAAAGTCTCTGCCCTCTAGATTATTTGCTCTTCATCTCCCCGTGTTTTTTTCAGGTTTTCCTACCCAGCCTGCTGACTCTTTCCTTGGGACCTGATCTCACAGGACGCTCTTAATCCAGTGTTGTGTCTTCTCGTGTGTCTGCCTTCTGAGCTCAAAATTACATGGACTTGATGATAAAGACTGCCTTTTGTTGTTGTTTTCCTGGTAAATGACCAGTAAGACTCATCCTAAATTCTTGTTAAAGGTCATTTATGAGTTCTGATAAATCAAGGGAGTAGTCGACTTTCTCTTTTTTCCCCCTAACATGGTACTTCCAGAGAGGTCTGCCTGTACTAGCCCAGTAAGTTCAGTAGGCAGGAGTCTTGGAAAAGGAATCTTAGTATTGTCAGTCATGACAATGAGAGGTATAAAAATATTACAGAGCCCTAGGACAGCCAGTTTGGAACAAATAATTGCTTTCTTGGCTTGCAGGCAACCCTGTTCCCATGTACCCTGAGTTATAATAGTATTTTGTCAGGTTTGTTAATCAGAAATGGAAAAATACAGCACAACTAATCTCCAGGGCTGCCAAGTAAGATGTGTACATGTGATACTGAAAGACCTGGAACTTCCCAGGAGAGGGATCATCCAGTTCAGAAGGGTGGCTGGGGATTATGGAAACCTACTGCCTTGTTGGTGTGCTGACACTCCTCACCCTTCCTTTGCAGGCTCACCCTGCAGCACGAGCTCTCGGCGGGCCAGAGAGATTGTTCTGTGCTCGTGTTCCCTTTCAACACCTGTAATTTAAAGGCAGGCAAGCAGCTGAGTACACACCGGATACATAAAAGATAAATAACATTGGAAGCACAACCTCTGTCTAGTTTGACAGGTTCAACAATCAAGCTGTCACTTCCCGCAGCAGGCTGTCCCAGATCAAAGAGCTGGTACTGCTCCCCGGCCACAGGTTTTTTAGGACAGGGCTACAGCACCGAGTACACGTCCTGCTCATAACTCAACACCCGGTGATTATTTATGGACCTTCTTTTGGGGAGAGTTTGCCTGGTTCAGAGGAAACAGGCCACGATTACTAGGAGCCCGGCAGGCAGGTGTTTCCTGTGATACCTAGAAAACCCCGGAATCTGACAAAGTGAACAATCACCCAAATACAAGATTGATCCTAAATATCAGACCTTTTACATATACTTATTGTTCTCTAACCTTTTTCAACAGCCAGGGTGACCGAAGGTATCTTGATTTAAAGATATGACTGTACAAACAGTTCATGGCTGGTTTTGAGCGTGAATTGGTGTGGAGAAAATCACTATGCTGGAAAGTAATTGAAAACTTTCCAGAAAGCCACAGCTTTCTGTGGCTGTGAAAGCCACTCGCTGTTTGGACAAATTGAGCTATTACGCTTACTGTACTTACGCCTTCCCTTATCACAGCTGCCGTTGGAGGTAATGAAGAGAAGGAAGCTGCGCCATTTTGATCTTGGGAGAGAAAACAAAGGTGCTACAAGCTGTTGCTTTTTGCATGTTAGGTGAATGGGGCTTGAAGGCTCATAGATGCAGATCTGTCATGACAGCGTAAGAGAAATCTTCCTCCAGCACCTGCTCTGCTTAGACATCCATCTATTTGAAAAACAAACAGCAAACTAAAAGCAATGCCTTGTGCTCCTCACTGGCTGTTCAGTGTGTATTTTGGGGGAACAAACAATTTATTGTCTAACAACTAAAAATAGCTGGAGGGAATTCCAACTCACCTGAGAGTCAGGCGGCTGACCCAACAAGTGTTTTGCAAGCTATTGCTCGCTACAGCACTCGGCTGTGTGCTGCCACCCTCACGTCTTGGGTATGTGCTTGTAAAGCCTCCAGATGATGCAAAACCTCCTCCCATTTCCTCAAGGACAAAATGAAGAACTAAAACGCTGGATGGTACAGATGAAGAGAAAATACAGCCAGTATGCACGTCTCATGCCGGTGTCTGCCTCGGTGCCCGGAGCAGTGCAACAAGCCTCAGCAGCCGTGGCAAGAGGACAATGCACTGGCTACGGTTCGGAGGCATGCTCAGGTGTTGGGTAGGTGGTGACTTGACGAGACTAGGGCTACCTGCATGAAGGTGGCCTCTGTCTGCCTTCGTTTGTGTGCTCGGTGATGCTGGCTGATCTCTGGAGAAATACACAAATATGTTTGTGTGAATCCTCCCATAAAATAAATGCCTGTAACATAAATACTTTGTTGGTAGTGAATAATACTGATTGGCTTTGTCTTTACCTGGGGGGCTGAAAGAACATTTACAGGCTGTCCTCTGAGATCCACCGACCAAAATTCAGGCTCCTTTAATTTAGCCTCTAGGGCTGTAATCTGGCCTTTGCTGTGTAAGTCACAGCGTGACATTTTGCTGATCTTGTAATCGCAAGGCAGCGGTCAGTGGTAATGTCAGGCTGAAAAGGTTAAACCCTGTTTGCCTTTTTGCCATTGTTCAGGTTCGAGTCATTTCCCTGCTCAGGAACTGAGAGAGGCTGGACCTTACAAGGAAGCGCTTTGTGGCCTCAGTTTCGGCTCTCATGTCTGGTGCGCTGGGGCCTGACCTGCCCAGGCAGGACTGCGGCCAGAGTGCGAGATTTTGTGCCAGTCTGTTGTTGTCTAGTGAGAATTAGGATAGCAGGATTGTAGCTTTCTCCCAGTCTCATTAGGAGCAGCCCCTGAACTCTGTTCAGGGGATCCAAAGAACAGACGTAGGTACATTGTTCACCTGAATGCCACCCACACCAAATGAATATCGACTCCAGAATACAAGTATTTTAAAAAATACCCACCTAAAGTCATTGAAACATAATTATTAAAACATTTTATGTTACTCTACAGTACAATGTAAATTATTCCTTTCAATTAAATTTTGAAATACACTAGATTACATCATTTAAATAATCACAAACTTTTAAGTTCCCTATTAGTGGTAGCAGAGCTGTATTTACATACACTTCTGAGATATTTCAGATGCAGCGTTACGTTCCAGTCCCTAAGTCAGTTAAATAACAGACTTTCAATGGGAGTATACTGCTCTTCCACAGGTTCTACACATATTTGGGGTGTATGTGTCAGAGAGCAAAAACTCCTTCTATTCTTGTTTGCTTTTTTTTTTTTTTGCTGTGTGCATGCAGCTGAATCTGAGCAAATTGATACCTACTTTCTTTTGGATTAAAGAAAGATTAAAGACCTTTCTTTTTAAACTAGTATTTTGACTGAATATGCAGAGGTGAATAATGAAATACAGTCCTTAGGAGTAGCGGTGGAAAACATAATTTTCTCCAGCTTTCATCCTCTGTTGCATAATACTGCACCTAATTTTGACCCTGACTTTACCTAATCCTGATGAAATATAGTCAATGGTGGAAACCTCTCTCATGTTGCCAAGACTGGCTTTCAACACGATCCATGCAATGACAAGCATCATACATCATTCTCCTGCAGTGCAATATTAACAAGTTAAACTCAGTATTTTCCTCCAGAGATTTGTTCCTGGAGGGAAGCCCATCTCTGTATGTACATCAGCCACAAACAGGTTGTGAGTCCTGAGGCTGGAGACCAGAATTAGGCTGTGATGCTTGCTTCCAGTGCTCCTAAGAGTCTTTGCAGGCCAGGCTCCTCCCTGTGTTGTCCATGGAGCACAGCAAGTCCAAGCCACCGAGGCTCTTGATGGTCCTTGCACGTGGCACTGGTCAAGCCAAGTCTCCCTGCGTGCTGCCGGTGCAGGACTCAGGGCCTGGTGTGAGGGGTGCTGATCATGATGTTGGGCAGCGCATTCCGCCGCTTCTTCCAGGAGCCCAGCTCCCTCGAGTACCGCCTGATCTGCCTGAACCAGTGGTGAGTCCGTGCCCGGTCACTGTCCCGGAACACAAACGCCTCCCGCCTGATCTCAATGAGTTCAAAAGTGTCATCGCAGTCGGGGTCAGTGGAGACGATGCAATTACTCAGCCTCAAGGGCTCCCTGAGCAAATGGAACTTCCCGTTATTTTTGTCCCTGATGAGTACCAGCACGGCATCCTTCACAGGCCCTGGCTCAGCTGACTCCAGGCTGGACTCGGACACTCGCTTCATGTTCACCAGGAGGAGGACCTGCATGTTCTGGAACTTCAGGGTCTTGCTGCCTTTCTTCACCCACTGGCCATCAGGGGGCTGGGCCAGCTGCAGAGACCCCTCCATCACAAATCGCGTTTCCTCTCGCAGCCAACCTACAGTTTTGAGGGCAGTTTCTCTCATTTCAATGTTGATGACTTCCCTCTTCTTCTTGCTGTCCTGGCGAAAGGATCGGAGGGTCCATGTGTTCCCCTCCTGTTTGGTTTTCATATTGATGTGCTCCAGGTGGGACTCGATGCGGCTCTTGGCCTCCCGCAGGCTGCCATAATCCGGGTGGTACTCGGTGGTGGCCTTGATGATTCTGCTGAGCAGCAGTGGGTACTTGGTGACTCTTTGCAAAGGGGCCATCAGGAAGGACCTCAAGTTCATCCGCCGCAGTGCTGTGTTGTCATTCTGGGAGACATTGAGGAATATTCTGCAGGGATTTAAGAAGAGAGAATGGAATGGTGGCTGTTCTGCCAGCAGATGCTGCAATCCTAAATGCAAATGAACAGTGTGGCGCTGACAGCTGCTGGGCACTGCAGCCCTCTCTCTGGTTTTAACAGCCTTGTGAATTCTGTCTCCCCAAAAACTAACAACAATCTCTGCATCTGTGCTCAGCTGCAGAACAGCAATGAGGTGCCTGGAACACTAGCATGTAACATCCTAGCAGTCTTCTATTAAATTGCTGTAAAACAACAAGGGTGTGATCTTTCTCTGGTACACACTGACGTAGGCCCAAGGCAGATAAAACAGCTTATATCAGATTACATTAATTTGTAGCTCCTTTCATCATTAGATTACAAAGCACTCTAGACAAGAATTTGGTACTGTCATAATTTTAAGCTGTTGCAGTAGAAAGAGAAGTGACTCGCCTGCCATTGCCCAATAGGCCGGGGCTAGAAATGGGAAACAAATTCAAGTCATGTATGCTTCACATAGTGTCCTTCCCCAGTGGAAATCCAAACGGCGCTCTGGTGCAGGGCCTGAGCGCTGTTCTCAACTGAGCGTTCTTTGGTGACAGCTCGGTGCAGCGGTCAGTGGGCAAACACTGCTAGCACAAAATACAGTACACAGCTGGGGACCAACTGGCTGCCTCAGTGGAGATATCAAGGACCGAGTACCTTTTGGACAAAAAATTACTCTCCTCACCCCAAGAGAGAGCAGCTCATCACTGAAGAATATCAGCATCAAAACTTTGATCTAGTTGAGCTGACAAAGGCTTCACCCTCAGTCTGGTGCCTTGCTGTCCCCAAAGCCTGGAAGAATACACTCAGCCCTTTTCTCACCTGAGCAACTCTTTCTCTTTCTCCAGTGCGTTGAGCATATTCACAGAGGAGGACTGCTGGAGACAGTAGGTCTGAAAGGCTGGCAGCATGTTGACGAACTCTAGAAATATTTCGCCGATGCACACGGTCATCAGGTCATCATCACCCTGCAAGCATGCAATACAGTCCCTGCTGGGTTAGCTGAGGAGAGGCACAAGCACGGAGCCTGCATTCGGTCCTATCAGTGTGAACCTACGGCAGGATCTGGCGAACACCAGACCAAAGGTGGAACTGGGCTCACCCTTCCTGGTGGAAAAGCAGTCCCTGCAGGTCTGGGGGGGAAGCGTTGTGCAGGGAGGGGAAGGAAACCTGGTCTAACTGCTTGTTCTTCTGCACATAAAGAGCCGTCTTATCTGCTCCCGAGGGCTCAGCCAGCTCACCAGAGCACGGGCTTAAAGGCTAGAGGCCAGAGCGAGCCTGCTAGTCAGGGGGGTGTACTGGGGCCCTTCTTGCTGGCAGGTCTGCCATAAAGCTAATGCAGCAGTGCAGACATTAACAGAGAGCATTTAGGGGCAAATGGGCAGGAGAGGCATGTAACTCAGGTGACAGAGACGGCACTTTACAACTTCTGCAGTTAGACCCAGCAACTGGCCTGGCTGGGAAGCAGTCTCCCTCAGTTGTGCTCTTACTGGCTACTTTGATGTCTAAATGAAAAATAAATTTCATGGTAAATTGTTCTCTGATTTCCAGATGCGTAATAAAATAAAGGAATAGTAAGAATCTGGTGCTAGCTTTGTCGAGGTGTATGCTGACATGCTCTGCAATCACTGCTCATTTCAGCAGCAAGAGAGGGAGCAGTTCTCTGGCTGCTGGCAGCTTTTTGGTGCAGTACTGAGCTCTGACTGAAAAGACGACATGGAGGAGGAGATGACAGGGAAACCCACGGCTGTTTCTAGAAGCCATTGTGTCAATAAATTATTCACAGAGGACATCACACCCGCAGTGCACATCTGTCTTCATTGTGCCAGGTGTATGACAGTGGTTGTCAAAGTTGCCAGTTTTTGAGACATGTGTCACTCAGTCTGACATGCAGGGTTTTGGAGAGGGAGCGTGGTTGTCAAAGTTGCCAGTTTTTGAGACGTGTCACTCGGTCTGACATGCAGGGTTTTGGAGAGGGAGTGGAGGAATGTATTTCCTAGAGAACAAAACATCCTGGTGAAACTGATACAGCAACAAGTGGGTTTTGGTTTCTTGAAGAAAGGAGGGTGTGGAGCTGTTTATATGTCCTTTGCAGTGATTGCCTGCTGCTCTAGAGTCTTACTTCCATTTCTCTGCCCTCTGACCACCACGCTGGTGGGGCAGCAAAGTGCCTTGTGCAAGGCAGGGTGCATCAGTAGAAGCAACTGGTACACAGAGCTGTAAGGGCCAATTTTCACCAGAGCAGGGAGCAGCCTGTGCTGCCTAGCCCTGCAGCCAGCCTAGAGGCAAGCTGCAATAAACTACAACCCAAGGCAAATACACCCAAGCTAGCCTGAAGCAAGCCAGCTCACGGTCGCAAGAGCTTGGCCTGTGAGACAGACCAAGCTGAGCTCTGTGCCCCCACAGTCACACTCTTGTCAGGGTGCAGGCTAACTGGCTTAAAGCTAATTTTGGATATGGGACAGTGAGGTCCTGTTAATGGGGTAAATGAGCTAGGCTGCTGATGGCCTGCTAATGTCAGTGGCATTACCACAGCAGAGAGTGAGGCCAGCAGCTGTGACCTGGCACAGGCTTACTGAAATCACTGGTTTACAACAGCTGAAGGAGCAAGGGACTAGGGAGATGACCAGAACCAAGGAGTCCTACCTCCTGATCCTCTGTTCCACCCATGCTGCCTCACTAATACAAAACCTATTCCTGTCTGCCTGGTCTGGCCCCTTTAGGGCATGCGGCATCATACCTGATCAAAGGCCTGATCGATCTCTTCCTGGAGTATCTCCAGGAAGTTCTCGTTGAGGTCGATGAGCTCCTGGATGTTGCTGAAGATGCCCAGGAGCTGCTCCTGGCTCAGCAGCCCAGCTGCCTGCATGGGGAGGTAGAACTCCTCTTTGATGATGCGCAGGTCCTCTCCATAGCTGGCCTCTGTGTTGACAAACTCCAGCACAGACTCCTTGCGCTCCGTCCTGCGCTTGCGGCACTTCTCGCAGAGGTCAGCCCGCCTCTGATTGCAATTCTGCACGTCCGTCTCCACCGGGAGGTCCCTTTCTCCACAGTCGGTGCAGGGACGGTGGGCTTCCCAGGCCTGCAGGGAGCTCAGCGTTTCGGATGCCCTGTTCCTCCACTTTCTGGCTGGCATCTGGCCTATGCCACTGTCTGCCCTCTCCACATCCACAGACTTCGTCCGAGTGGCCTCGCTGGGATCCAGATCGTCCCGGACATCATTCACACCAACAATCCCGCTGTCCGTGCTCAGGCTGCTGACATTGCTCCAGTGATGTCTGGAGCGGAGGGAGCCACGTGGGGTGCGCCGGGTCTCATCAAAACTGCCACCATGGCCAAGGTTGGCTTTTGCTACCACCGGACCTGAGAACAGACAAAAATCATTACAGGCACTGCCAGCTGCACAGAGCTCACCTGAGGAGCTCAAGCTGGCACACCCATGAGTGGTACAAAACCTGGGGGGCCAGGCTAGATCTGGTGAAAGCAGGGCTGTTATTAGCTGTCTCCCCTCCTGTTTTGCTGCCAAAACTGGCGAGAGTCAGGAGTAAATGGCTCCTAGGTGAAGCCTGGAGCCTGTCATCCCTGCAGCGCCCATACCTGTGAACTCATTTGAGCTCTCTCTTCCCCTGCCATCTGCCAGGTAGGGACAGAGACACAGCAGAGTAGATCCTGATTTCTTGCACACCTGGGTTAAACTCAGAACACTTCCCTCCCTCAGGTCAGTAGAGTGACTCCGTATTTACACCAGCATAGCAGGGCTCAGCATCTGGCCCGTCAGCCCCCTCTGAGCATGCAGAATGTGGGTACCGTAGTCTCGCTCCTGCCGGCGCTTCTGCGCGTGCTGCCGTGCTGCAGCTGCAATCTTCAGCTCCAGCTGCTTCCTCTTCACCGAGTCTGTCGGCATAGGGTCACTGAAGTGCGGCCGCAGCCGGCACTCCCGCTGGGCCTTGGCACCATCCGCACTCTCATGGACAATGTCGGAGCTGGATCGGCGGCAGCTCGGACTTGGGGTCTGCAAGAAAGGCAAGTGGGTTAGGAGCAAGGTGATGGTCAAAGCAGCACCTGGTTTGCAGCCACTGGACTTTAGCTGCCGAAGGAGAAAAAAGGAAACTCATCAATGGTGGGATTGTAAATGCAGCTCTGCTACATGATCATTAGGAAATCTGTCCTCCCAGGTCACTCTGTCTTGTTTAGTCCTAACACCAAGGACCTCTCTCCCTTTGCTGTTGTGTAGCTCTGAGTACAGTGGCCCCGTGGTGGCTGGATCACGACTGTCAAATAACCATGAAGAAGTCAACAGCATAGCCCTGGCTAAGGGCCTAAAGAGGGGGCTGAGCCTGTCCTCCAGGGATCTGAACTAGCTTGCCTCTGTTCTGTGAATGTTTCAGCGCTGCAGGCTCAGGAACTCCAGCCTCTATGCCTTTACCCACATTAGTGGTTTGACCAAGCAGGGACTAGGAGGCAGTCTGTCCGATCTCCTGGGCAGCGCAGCAATGAGGGGTGGTGGCACACTGAAAGCCACGAAGGGGTTATTGCTGAACTCCCTGCAAGAGATGCAGCGGCAGATAGGCAAGGGCACAAAATTGACTCCTGTTTCATTAACTGTAATAAAAAAGGCACTAGAAATGCTTCTAACAGAGTTTAATTGCTGATGGGAGTTGGTGTGAATTCAGATCCCAGGCTCCCAGCCTGCCCAGTTCCTACAACGAAGGGATCCTTTAGAGCTTCTGACAAGAAAAACCAATCCTGAACACACGGTCAAGATGAGAGGGGAATTCCTCTCCCTTACATTCCCTGCAGGTGGAGCGTCACTGGATGTCTCATTGCTTGGCTTGTCCCCCCAGCTCTCTGTTGCCATGGACATCGCTGTGGGCTGCTGGCTGTCCTCTGGAGGTGGGAGATCAGCTTCCCTCAGATCACACTGTCCCTTGGAGGGGGATTTGGCAGCAGTCTCAGCATTGCAGCTGCAAGGGAAGAAGCAGACTCTGATGAACATCATGTATGCAGTTCACTTGCTGTTCCTGACACAGATGAGACTGAGCAGCAAGCCCAGGTTCGAACAACCACCTGCAACAGTTCAGGGCAAGTGCAGGGAAAGGCAGGAATCTAGACTGGTTGGCATGGATGGCTGTGCATGTGTTTCAGGGGCTCTAAACACAGCTCAATTATAGCAGTGCAAATCAGGTAATTTCACTCTTGCAGCAACAGTCTGGGATACGATGTCTTGGGTGTTCACAGGGCATTTTTGTGTCCATAAAACATGAGGTTCTCCCATACGGACCAGAAAAACCTCTTTCTAAGTAGGCTATATCCATATTTGCTGCTATTTAAAGAGATGTTGTCAACCTAGAAACCATATTGCTCATCTGGAAGAAAATCACTTGCTAAAAACCATAATACTTTGAAGAGATTAGAGGATTAAAGGAGCTTTCCCTCTGTTTTTCATCTCATATGATCCCAAGCCCACTGAAACCACTGGAAAGATTCCCTCTGCTTTCAGTGAACTCAGGATCAGGCCTTCGGTGCACTTGAGAGTCCTGAAAAGACTGGCAGAGTCTGTTGTTCTCATTTGGCAATTCTGGGATGTTCTTATTCACGGCTGTCTGGTGCTAACAAGGGCCTGGCCTGCCTGATACAGGCAGCCTGTTCCAACCCCACGTTTCCCTCTCTGTAGACCACACCACCTCTCCAGACAGACAGTCTGGTGCAAAACCACTGACTTCACAGAGTAGTCGACAGGCTGTAGTTTGCAATACTACTTGTGATACATTTTTTTTTAGCAGACTCTCTAAGTCACCTTATTTCCATGCATAATGAAGCCTGCTTGGAAGAATATTAATTTTTTCATTTTAGGTTTACTTAATTTTTATGGGCTTGGATTACTTTAAAAAGAAAGGTTGTCAGGACTGGATATGGATGCTTGCACATAGAGGAAGCCCATGTCTGGAACATATTTAAGGTTATGCATGTAGTTTATGCTTAACAAAAGTCTCCCATGACAAAAATCTGCTGCTTTTTAAAGACTTCACTTGTGAACTTATGCTGGTAGGTCATACTGCTAATGTGTAACTCCAACACTGTCAGCTACAAGGAAACACAGGAGACAGATGGGTATTTTCCTTACAATGAATGAGAGCTGGCTCCGATAACAAACCATCAGCCAACACTGAAATCACTGAAGAGGGAACAAATCTCCCAGAACACAAACCGGCTCTGTTGTCAGGCCAGAAAAGTTGGTTTGCAACTTTCCAGCTGATGCTTTTTCATCTTCCTCCATTTATGATTCCAGGTCCCAGCTGACACTACCAGAGGATTTACCAACTTAAAAAGACTTTAGCCGCAGCTGTGCAGCTACAGCACAGTGCTAACAGCAGGCTCCTGGCTTTTACTTGTTGCTGTGCTCACTCCCTACCATGTGGATTTGGAAGCGTCACTTCACCTCTCCAGGCCTCTTCTCGCCAGCCTGTAGAAAGGGGATACCAATGCCAGTGCTGCCACGGAGCAGCCTGTAGTACGGACTGCGTTAGCCCCTCACGGGTTGCAGTAAGAGCAGCACAGGCACACAGCAAGGCTGTGGTCCCACCATGGCACTCTGCTGGCCTGGTCCGGCTTAAAAGGTTCCTGTCTCCTTCCTCCCTCCCGTCCCCAGCCACATTTGGGGTACCACTCTATCAGCCAGTCCAGTGTAACTGTCTGTGTCGCCATGATCTAAAATCAGTCTTGAAATGATTTGGGTTTAAAAAAAATATCCTCCCTCATGTGTTCCTAGCCAGATTACTTCATTGATCTTTCATTGAATCGGGTAAAGTATGAACAGTTCAGCTGGGCACACCTGTGGGAGGGAAGGCAGAAGTTAGGGAGCAAGAAAGCTCTTGAGGAGGATCTGCCACGGCCAGAAACCCACCATTTCCAAAAGCTGCTCCTGCTGACACAAATTCTGGTTGAAACATGCAGAAAGAAGGGACCATGCTGAGGCACAGAGAGGCAATGGGACATGTCCAAGGCCAGTAGCAGAGCTCAAAACCGGATTATTATCTTCTCCTCTTGATCATGCCACCTCCCACCACACAGACCATACTCGCAGAGAGTTGAGGTTTCATTTTATGATCCATTTAAACACAGAAAGTACTCCAGAGTATTGCTGCTCCTCTAAGTGAAGCTGACAGCAGCTCTCTGCTAATAAGGTCTGCAAACCAGGTGCCATTGCTTATTGTGGTTTCTATCACCCAACAGGGATATTTTTGAAAAATCTCCAAATGTGACCTGCAGTGGGAATAAGAACCAATACTAGCCAGAGAGCTGAGCTAAGGAAGTGTGACTGGAGACTGAGAAATTCAACCCACCCCATAGCTGGTCAGCTAGAGGTAAGAAAGGCAATGATGCAGAGCCCATGTTGTGTGAAAGGAGATTTCTTCATCCCTGGGTTTGACTGCTCTACTTCTAGTTGTTATTAGATCCCTCCTGCATGATGGCCATGCCGTGTGGGGTAAGTCCTGCTCCACAGAGCAGTTGCTGTGCACCTCATCACCAGTGTCATCAGAGGGATGTAGACAAAAGATGGAGGATACAAGCAGTTTTGTAGAACCGAAACTTAGGGCTGCTCCTTTAACCTTTGCCCCTGGCTTAGGAGGAAGAGGGGACATTGCCAAGAAATGGGGATATTGCCCCTTCCTCCAGTCCACTCCCCCTGGCAGAGATCTGGGCTGCCAACAGGTCTACACCAATGCCTGCTCAAGCAGTCCCCTCTGCTCTGACGCAGAGCCGCAGAAGGGTTACTCTGGCATGTTTCCTTCTGTGGGATCAAATCACTTGTTGGGATAGGAGCTTTCCGCCTGGGGTTGGTGTCAGTTTTCCCTGTTCTCTCCAAGACAGATGATGCACTTGGGCCAGCACAGGGAAGACAGGTTCTTTCTAAATGTCCTTTTAAACCTCTGGGCCATCATCTCTGAATCTGATGAAAGCAGAGGCAATAGGTGTGTGGTGTACAACTGGAAACACACCTGCTTTCCTTCACGGTCTCTATGGGCCTCTTCATGGTTGTGTCGTTGTCCAGGCCAGCAGTTCTCAGCCCTTTCCATATGTTCCTGACTCTTTCTGACTAATGGAAACATTTTTGTCCACTCCTTCCCGGCTGGCACCTGCCTTCCAGACTTGGAGTCCTGTGCTATGGGAACCTGTTATTGTACCCACCATCTCGGTGTCTTCCCAAATACACTCCATCACCCTTTTCAGGAAGCCTTCTTTCTTAGTCATGTCCTCTGCTTCCCTGTGCAGGTTTTTGTTGTAACCTTGTCTCCCATTTCACGGACAGTAACCCCAGGTCCTTACATGTCCTTATCCTGAACAATTTGTTGCTTAAACAAGTTCAGAAAGTGGACTATATATTGAAATGCATACAGGATTTCCACCTAGACCTCAACACCCCTTACCTGCCAGGACTACAACCTAAGATAAAGGTATTCAGTGACCCATGAGGGAGCTAAAGACACCATAATTATGAAGCTGAAAATCAAATACTCCCTGATGAAATATTAAGACATTTGAATGAGTCTTAAGTAATTAACTATGAATTACTAGGAAGGCAATTAACTTACCAGACAAAACTGCTTTGTAAAACGGTAACACACAGAAACACAAGAGAAGACAATTTCATCTATCTTATTCTGTGATGCTCTATCACAACATCTCTATCAAAGGCTTGCTGAGCTCAGTATTTGTGGAAATGGGACCAAATCCCCAGCTTTCAGCTCATTTCATTTGAGACTTAGAAAAAATGTGGTCTGGATATCAGCGATCATAATTTAGAACCCAAAACATCCAGACAAAAAGTCTCCCACTGCAGTGAGGATCAGTTTGAGTCATAAATGAATATTCAGGCACTTTACAGTCTCAGGTAAAAATGATGGAAAATTGAGAAATTTCTAGATAAAGAACACTGGAGTTTCCCACTAACCAGTACTTTGGCACTGCCAACAGATTTGTTTTCCTCCTGCTATCCTGAAGAAATGACAGCCTTTACCATTAATTGTGACTACTGTGGAAAATAAACAGGCCAGTGTGGTTCCTTCACATGAAACAACCTCTCTAATACTGGAACCACTGTGTTTCTCATTTTTAGATCAATTATCATTTTGGTGTTAATAAAATCACCTCATATATTTTAACAAATCCAACCAGGGAGACTGAACACATTCACAGAAACAAAAACCACTGTGGATATTAAAAGCACAGAAACCACACTGAAACCATAAAGGCCCTGGGCAGAAAGTGTTTGGAGGCTGGGACAGTAGTGGGAAGAAAGATCATATGGACTACCCATTTCCTGTACACTTTGCTATGCATGCACCTTGGGCTCCAGATACCAGTCAGACCTTTGATCTGCCACGAGACAGCGGTTCTTACGCTCTCACTCATGGCTTGTGCCATTCTGTGAATTTCATTTCGCATCAATGATAAAAATAGCCTACTCAATGAAAATGGTTGCATACCAAAACTTTCTCATCTGTTTCTTCATTGGGTTTTCATACCCTAGAACAAAAGCACAAAGGCTGGGCTGGATAGCTGAAGGAAGCATTTAGGGCTCTGACACCACCTACTTCCCTTTGGATTATAAAGTTGCAGAAGTATTTCTGCTCATCACTCTGGCTCTGCTACATGGGGAGCTTCAGCTCCACAGAAGTTCTTCCAGATGACTCATTCCTGTGCAGAAGTCACTATCGCCTCCTCTAAAACTTCAGTCCAGTCTCAGACCTCTAGCATTCCAGAAATACCAAGCCAGTGTATAAGGTTGTTGCCCTGGCATTTCACACACCCCATCCGTGGATGTCAGAAGCAGCCAGGAACCAAATCAAATGTAATTCTTGGCAAAGCCAGTCCTGAAAGCCAAGCATATGGAAACAAACCACTCCACCAACACTCACTCCTCCTTTTCCCATCAGCCTTATCTACTGATAAGACAGTGATAACTGCCCCAAACTCCTAGCTTCCAGAACTTTGTCGATTCCTGTTGGGCCGCCTGCCTGCACAGAAAGGGATCCCCATTTCTTTGGCAGGAGGGAGGTAACAGGGCTGCAGTGTCCAAAACCAGGACACAGAAAGCAGTCCTTGTGAACATCTTACCCAGAGAAGGGGAAAACCCTGGTTGGAGAAGAGGGAGAAAGGCTTTACGCAAGTATTTTCTCTCACTGCTTACGCTGAGTTGGCAGAAGGACAATATTGGCCAGTACTTTCACTCGCTACCTGTGCTGGTCTCCAGAGGGTGGTTAAAGACTAGTAACAGCCATCTTGCTCTTACTTGTTTGCCAGTTCACTACATACAGGCAGCTAGTGAAAGCACTTGTTGCTGCATGTCACACTACCTAAATTCTTGTCCTGCAGTGGTGGGACAGACTCTCATTCTTTTATCAAAGGAATCGTATCAGTACTTTGTATCTCTTGGCTGTCCTCTACTTTTAACAGATGTTAAAAAAAAAAGAAAAGACATTTCAACAATTTATTACAGAAATAAAATGAGTGGGAAATTGGGTGTCAGGACTACTAATGGCTGCTATCTTGACAGGATTAAGGTGTACAAAAAGGCAAAGTCTAGATGAAAATGCTTTTTGATGTTTAATCCCACGCAAAGACGGAGTTTAAGCTCAACAGCTTAAAGACAAGTCCACGTGGCTATCAGAGACCCTAAGATGAAAGGCTCTGCCAACAGCGTATTTATGCTACAGGAGTTAAATGTACATATCAGGAGAGAGACTAGATTGTTAACAAGGGAACTGCTTTCAGGTGACCCCACAGAGCATGTTACCTTTTCTTAATAAGTTCCAGGGCTGAACCTATTAATTCATCCTTCATTTTTTGTAGTTTAGCTCCATAGCTGGATAAGTCTGTGGCTTCTAACAGCAGCGATGAACAGCAAGAGGACTGGGCTTCAGAAGCCAGTGACTGCCCTGAAAGGTGGAGGACATCATTCAATTGTCTTGTCTCTCCGAAGATCTCCTGCCCAGCTCTGTGTATTGCAACTGCCTGTAAAGGTGATCGTGGAATAGGGCTAGAGCAAATGGGGACTGGTGATCTACCCGGGCTGGAGATCTGGAAGGTTCTGTCCTTCACCTCAGGACTGCTCATCCTGAAACCGTCCCATGTGGCTGGATATTGAGAAGAGCCAGCAGAGATGTGGTTTTCATGGAACACATCATCGTCACCCTCTGCTGTGACACTGGCTTCATTCACAGCTTTGGTCCCCAGAGCTTCTGGACAGATGTTCTTATTGTACTCCTCCTCCAGGGTCTGGTTTGCAGGCAGACCCTTATTCACGCAATCTGTTGGCCCACTGCTGCTGGCAGATGAATTTGCCTCCTTACTTCTCATTTGCTTGAATTCCTCAAAGGTGGGTATGTAGAGCCTCCCTTTGCAGTGGCCTTTCTTGCTCTGTCCCAATGTGGCTTTGACATCTGTTTCTCCACTACATTGTTCCAGGCTTTCTGCGGTTCTGGATTTGGCCATCTCATGGCTTTCCCCAGCATGCTGAAGGGGCAGATTGGGAGAGCTATTCTGCCTTCGGAGCTGAAGCCTCCTCTGAGCCTCCTGCTTGATGTCTTCTGGACTAATGATCCTGTGTGCAAAACACAGTCTCTGCCTCCCTGTGAGGCTGTGCCTAAGAGCAGCGTGTTCCACCAAAACCGTGCAGCAGTTGACAGCACAACCGTTCTTGTACTGCCGGCACATCTGGCATTCCAAAAACTCCCGGGCCATCAGGTCAGGCAAGGCCACCTGTGGACGCACTGGCTTACAGGGCTCTGCCACCTTACTGCTGTGCAGCCTCAGCTTCTCCTTCAGCTCTTTTTTGGCATCCCCACGTAGGGCTCTTTCCTCTGCAGAAGGGAAGAGCCACTGAGGCACTTTGGCAAAGGGAGGGAGGACCACATTCCTTGCCGACTGAGATGTCTGTTTAGCAGGGACAGAAAGGTTTCTCAGAGACTCCGATGTGCTCTGTACTGGGACCACATCCGCACAACCTTCTGTCCACTGACTGGTGCCTCTATAGCGAAAGATGATCTCATTATCCAGGCTCCGGCAGTGAGAATACAGCCCAGAGTCAGCAACTGTTGCCCAGTGAAGGTTCTCCACGCTCCGATACATCCGGTTTTCCACAGGACTGGCCAAAGGTGCCTTGCCTGTGTGGCAGTAGTCTAGAGTATGGAAATCTCCAGAAAAAAATTGAGTGTCTAGGTTCTTTAGTGGATGCATGCTGCTAACCGAAAAATCCTTTAAGCCATGTTGTGCATAGAGCTGATTATTTTGGCAGCTCAAGATCACTCGGCAGTGTTCCTGTCTCTCATCAACACTGATGTATGTCATAGCAACTGCACATGGAGGCTCTAAGACAGTGGCGTCTAGGGGGAGAGGAGGGAGCTGGGGTGTCGCTTAGATGCCAGTCAATGTCCACAGACCACAGACAGCAAAGTGTGCTGCTGGGTACTCACATAAGAGGGCTCTCACATGGGTTGAGTCGCCATGCGTAGAAGACCTGTGAATGGAAGGAAAGATGAGTTACTGAAGCAGCCTGTTGAAGACTCACAGGATGCAACAGCAGGTCTGCTTCCAGGGAACGCAGAAGCCAAACACCAATAGCTTGGGTAGAAACAGAGCAGCATAACTAGGAGATGAGCCGCAGGGCTTGAGGTAGGGAATCTTTTCCATCTCTAGCCAAGCCAACAGTGGCCTTACACTACCCATCTGAATTTGGAGAATTTCTACCTACCTACCCTCAGCAATTCCCTCACAATAACACCACTCAACTCTAGTGATGAATGCGCAGAAGTGCTTGCTGCAGGCTCAGCTTACTCACACAGCAACGCTAAGGCGATGGGAGGTTTACAAGATCTTTCCCTCAAATGGGGCGCAGAGAAGAGTGTGCGGGTTAAGGAGGAGGCTGGGGGTGGGAAAGGATGACATGATAGTGTGGTCTCCTGGAAGGCTCAAGTAGCAAGGAGGAAGAAGGCGGCTGACTGGTGGTGGTTTTGTCCCTGAGAGTCACACTGCAGCCCCTTAATGCCCTGATTTACCCTTCACAGGGAAGATGCATATGGTTTAGTGGCCAGTAGCCAAGCATTTCCAAGGCCTTTCCAGTGCAGAGACAAAGGTACCTCACAGACTTCCACAAATGCACCCTCCTGACCCCTCAGCAACAGGCCCAAATGATCAGCCCCCACCACAGCTCAGCGGAGGCCCAGAAAGAGAATGTGTGATTTCCAAGGTTGTTCCTATGATCTGTGTTCAGCATTGTAAGGCCCAGGGAATCTAAAAGTGACTAAATCACATGTTCAGAGCAATGCAGAGAATTAAATCCCAAAACTTCAGTTTGGGCCAGCAGGATGAAGGCTAAGTGTCTAAGTCATCCTTGGAAGAGGAGGGAGCCTCCTTACACTGAATGGAGAGACTCCAAATTTCTCTTAAGGGTTTAGGCCTCGTGGACTGGCCAGCAGCCACACAAGACATCAGTGTCTGCTACAGCCCTGTCCACTCCCTCCCTTGGCAAGCAGAGGCAAAGGGAACGAGTGAGTGCCATACGCAAAGGAGAATAAGATTGGGCAGGGGATATGGGGTTAGCCTGAGATTTATAAACGGCAACATAGAGCTGGGATGGTGGGGCATCAGTCTCTAATAATAAGACAGGCAAGAACTAACCAGGTGGAACACCCAGGAAGAGGTCTTGGTAAAGCAAGACAGGACCATGTAAGTTACAGCCCAGACTGTTTGCTTTGTAGTGCAGCTAGGTTCTCCACACACTGCCAGCCATTCAGGCAGCACAGCCATCTTGACCAGGAGGGCAATGAAGAGGCTCGTTACTCCCTGAAGGCTAAGACGCCTCAGGCATCTAACTGTGTGAGGCACCAACAGACATCTTCCATCTGAGAAGAAGCCTGAGGCAGTATATTGCCTGGAAGCCAATCTTGGTAACTCGCTTATTTCACCCCTTGCTTAGAGTCATTCAAATTAGCATACTTTCTCCACGTTAATGAAACTATCTGTAATCCAATCCCAGAGAGGGAAGGCAGAGCTGATCTTGTGGATCACTGCTGAATGGAGAACATTATTTCCATCCTTCATAATTGCTAAAAATAAAAATTAAAACTAGCTCTCAAAATGTGGCCATTCCCCAAGACGTCACAGGCACTTCTCACCCAGTCTTCTCATGGTGGGGCTGGAGTTCCCCCTTCTTCACGGCTCTGGAGGAGCCCACAGGTGACAGCAGAGAAACGTGAGGATCAGGATTTTCTGTGATCATAGGTTATAACATGATCTGTCAAGAAAGAGAGAATGAGATGATGTGAGAGCCGGTCACTGAGTAGGGAACAGGGCTCCTGGTAGTGCCGAAGGGCTCCTGTGAGAAAGTGCTGTTAATGAGAGATGTCACAGCCTGTCAGGTTGGTCTGTGATCAGGTCACAGCCACGGGACTAAAAGCCACCGTGTACTTTCTGCACTCTGCTTTCAGATCAAGTAGAAAGAGAAAAAAAACCCTTGCCGTAGTGAGAGCTGAGAATAAAGCAGCCCTTGCCCAAGGCAGGGAGCTACACACAGTAAGGCCTGAAGAGGAACCAAGGCCCATGTGAGGCACGTATGTGTGTCAGAGCATGCGTGTGTAAGTGTGTGAGAGCAAGGCAGCCGGAGAAGAAAGCGCATAGGCAAGGGGAGAAGGGGTGACGAGAAGAGCAAGGAAGCAGAGGCACAGAAACGATGGGGTGGGATCTGTCTGTGGCTGCTCCCTTCACCAACGGGACAGCACTGAAAATACAATTGACTTGTGTCCTCACGGTCTCTCTTCAGGTAGAAGTTCACTGCTGGGGCCCGTCGCACTGGCCCCTCTTTGGGCTGCAGGACAGCTACAGTGACACCAGGCGTGGGTGGCCCACGCACCCCC